CTCGATTGAAAAAAAACGAGTATGAAAAAATAGCTAGCAAAATAGGTTCAACTTTATTCCTTTAGAGCAGAGAAAAGATGTCTATTTTCTTGAGACACTAGCAAAAAAATAGGGTGCACTGGGAGTAGAAAACGTTAGTGGGCTGACCACTATTTTTTTTTTTTAACCTGATGATGATAACCTGATAGTCTCTAATTTCCTGTGCCCCTCAATAACGAGAAAGAAATAAATGTTTTAATATTGGAACTTTCAAACAAACTTAATATCCCTTTAACTTCAACGTACCCCCAACTCTAAAAAGGAAAATTATGGTATATTTTAATTGCTGGTCTCTCTATGCTATACAGAATGGCCATTCCTAAGCTTGACTTTGGAGTGCCATACTTGCACATTTTTTATCATCATCATTGCAGTGTTTATATGGCTTTCGCAATTTAGAAGCTTGGTCCTCCATATTTTTATTGTAATAAATATAGAGAATTATATATTGGTCAGTAGGAAGAGCACTCAGTGGGTCAGTGCTATTTTTTACCGCTCTTTACTGTTGTATCGAGATAAGATATTAACCACATATGGAGTGCATGGCTTTAAATGGACACACAGGTAAAAGCACAATTGTCTAGCACTGCAAAGAAGAAGAAACACTTATATATATGCAGTGCTCCTTACGTGTACATGAACAACTGCAAATTATACATAGTAACAATAACAAAGTCTTTAGAATAATACAATTTGATACGTTTTATCCTTTACTAATTGCAAAAGACAAACTCAGGAGTAGAGAGGGATAGTTTGCCACCCTACAGAAGCCGAAAGCCACAAGTGTTCGGCCCATGCATGTACAGTTTAAAAACTTCTTTCACAATGGCAGCAGAGAACACTTTCAACTGTCCATGTCCACAGGAGTATGCCGTGGGCTAATCCAGGTGCCGGATGTAAAAGACTATGGAAACACCCTCAGGACCTCTCCTCTCTGTCCTTACTGGTGCATGCAGTGGAATATCAGCCTACTAATATCTACAAACTTACCTCTCCGTGGGCAATTCTTACCACCCCCCGCTTCTTACAACTGCCCCTGTACTACCAACCCCCCCACCCCACTATCACCACCGCCCCGTATAACTGCACCAGTACTCAGGGGTGTCCCGAGGCTGGGCGACACCCGGAGCGGTTACCGGGTGTCACCCCGCCCACTCGCCAAGACATCAACGCGCACGCGCAGTGATCTTCTAAAACCTGCCGGCGGCCATCTTGGTGATGGACGCTGGTAGAGGAGGGGACAGCCGCCTGGCGGGATAAGGTATGCCGCTGGGTCCCCTCCTCTCTCTCCTGATACTGTCGGGCGTTCGGTCCATGACCGACCGCTCGACTTTTCAGGGCGGGTGACACCAAAATGACTGTCAGTCATTTTGGCGTCAGCCCTCCAATGGTGACGCCACTGCCAGTACTATCCCCCTGCTGCACAGCCATGAAAAAGCACATGCACCTACACATCACATCTCTTCAGTACCAGACCTGGCCATCATTCCCCACTCCTTACATGACCACCCCTCACCACTACACCTGCACAAACACACCCTTATTCCTCTCTTTCAGAACCATGGCCAACCCTCATCCTCCTGCTATCACCATTCTGCTGCCGTGCTTTCCCTTCGCCCCCTCTCAGCACTGTGCCTGCTGCAATGCCATCCTGCACACCACATCTCTCCCCCCACTCTCACTGGAGAAAAGAGCCCATTCTGTCACGGGTGCACAAATCATTGTCCTACCACCATGGTTTAATCACTTCAATGCTACGTTCCATTGCTCCCTACATGTAGCACAGGATGATCATGGGTGATGCGTGCTCCAGCAAAAATTGGCAGTGCACGCATTAGGCCCAGTTCGCACTAGGACATTTCGCCGTGCATTTTGAAACGCATGCAAATTAAAATCCCATGTTTTCCTATGTGGGCCATGTTGTTTGAAATAGTTCTTGAGCTTCTTTTGTGGCACTTATAAGCTCATTTTGCTCCAAAGTCATCAATGGAAACGCACCAATCAGCACGTTTTTTGAAGCGGAGACTGCTTTTCATTGCACAACTAAAAACAAGCTGCAAGTTTGCCTAAAAATGCGCATAAAAAAAA